ATACTTATACCCCAAAAGTCGGTCTTATCATATACTGATTTAATGGTTTTCGATGAGGGCATAGTCCCTATTTTATTCGCATCGGCGGCGTTAGGCAAGCATGCCCCCGGAATAGAGAGGCAGATAATATGCATTGCGTTCTTTTGACTTTACATGCGACATTGTTTTCGACATTTGGCTTCCTGCTTTGCTACATGAAACGAGTGCGAATTGGACGCGAATCACAAATGGCTTTTGCTTGCAGTCCCTTTGAATGCAATAAAAGGGGCCGATACCCGTCTCTCAAGGAGAAGAACGAGGTGACGACAAGGCAATCATGGTTTTCTTTTTGGCAGGGTACAGGAATACAAAAGTATCAGGGCAACGCGATCATGTCCCATTATATATTAGCTAGGTCTGCTTACCTATGTTGGTAGAGCACAATAGAGTCAATAAGCTGAAAGCACTGCGATAATCGAGTGACCGTTGTGATTGCAATTGTGACATGTGAAGTCCGGAATTCTAGCTGGGATGTTTGGCTTGGAGAAACAACCGAATATTCATTATTGCATCATATCTTTCCAGCCCCCCCTGCGTGTCATGCGTGAGTTGTCTTAATTAGTATACAGAGTTATCGTCTATCCCCAAACCCTCTGCCCCCTAGTTGGAGTCTTCTATTGACTTTCGAGATCGGACCTAAATTACAACATAGTATGGGCAAAATGCTTAGCCCCCTTCAGTGTCCCGTCCAATTTTCAAATCACTGTGATAAGTCCTTCTAGATGCATCTTGGTGATATAGCTAGTCTACTCCTTCGATTCTGAGGCACCGGGGTTTGCCGGTGTCTCCTGAGTGGGCTGTTCAGCTGTCACCTGAGCCGTGTGTCCTTGGACAGGCTGCTGAGGCACCTGCGCTGCGGCATTGAAATGCTGTGCAGGATCGGCTAGGGAGCCGTCGGGCATAGGAATAAGATTGCCATTCTGAGGGAGGCCAGTAGGAATCATGATGGGGTTATTATGGTGAGGCAGAGCGCCCATGGCAGTTGGGTCAAGACCCAAAGGCAGAGCATCCATGCCACCCAGAATCATAGGCGCACCGCCATTGGGGACAGTATGGTCGGTGAGTTGCGATGCCCCGAGTGAGCCTTCTGGGTGCAGAGGGTACATAAGTGCCTCCATGGTTGTGCCGTCAAAGACAATCATGTTCTGGATAGGCTGTTGGGTTTGTCCGAGGACGTTGATGACGTCCTGGGCAAGTTGACCACCGAGGATGGCGGCAACAGGAGAGATTTCGCTGACGAGGTTCTGAAGAAAGCTGCGCAGAAACTCGGGGCGGAGAGTTTCACTGGGCAGGCCGAGAGCCTTGTGCTTCTGAGTGGCGATCTGCGTGAACAGCTTAAGGTCATCGCGATTGCTGGGGACTCGGCCGTTCTGGATCTGCATGAACTCCCAAAGAGCGCGGAGACAAGAAAGGGCGGGAGTGACACTTTTGAGTCGTCGCTTGGATTGGGTGTACTCGGTAGGAAGAACAGCAAGGTCACTGGCGAGGAACCATGTAGAGTAGAGCTCGCGCTTGGTGACAGACTCAATTGTTTTGGGACCCTCCTTTCGAGTCTGGACATCAACGATAGTGCGAGTACGAGACTCTGGGCCGATGGAAGTGGGCATGTTTCCCAGGTCACGCTGGATTACATAGTCGTGTTCGATGAGATCGCTGAAGATAAAACCATAGAGGCCATGACAACCGGCAGCGTAGAAAGCCTTGCAGTTCAGGCGCGTGGCAGTGTTGATGATGTTGAAAGACTCAGGGTCAAGGTCAGTGGCGATGACAATATCGTAGGCAGCAAAGTAGCTTGGTCCCTTGGTCTTGACACCTTCTGTATCGACGTGAACACGAACACGGGGGTTGAGCTTCTGCAGAGCGGTGCTGGCGACTTGAGCGCGGTTCTGTCCGATGACATCTTCACCATCAGGGATGAAGAATTGGGCGCCTCGGTCTGCTTCGGTAACGGTAGCACTGTCTAGGAGAGTGAGAGAGCCAACACCGGCAAGGACAAGATTCTTTGCGATTTCATTGGCGAGGGCCTTGATGGTGATGAGAAGGATGTTTGCGCTTTGGATCTTTGCCTGCGCGGCCATGCCCCAGAGGCGGATCTGACGGTCATACAAAGCGACCTCATCTGGCGTATGTTAGAAATGATATGCTGAGATACGATTTGCGCGAGCAGAACTTACCAGCGCTGACAGTGGCAGGGGGAGCGACGGGAAGGCTGAAGCCATTCTGGCCATTTGGCAAGGCCAGCCCAGGTTGCATCATGAATGAAGGATCAGCCAGGGGCATCTGCATGGCCATCATAGAGGGATCAGCCATGAGTGAGGGATCGGCCAGCATGCTCAGCGCCTGAGGGTTCATTGGGTTGAGGAGATTCTCTGGTAGTTGGGGAATGCCATTGCCGTTGACGTTGATATCAGCGCTGGCATCGATATGAGGAATGACCTCTTGCGCTGAAGCATTCGGGAGTTGTTGTGCTTGGGGCTCAGCTTGAGGCTGGCCTTGATCCTGGTTCGAGTTGTCCATCGCAGATAGATTTGGGGTGAAGTCGGAGGATGTAGTGAACGAGATGTAGCCAAGCGAACAAAGTGCCAAGATTGTGGTTAATCGCAGCGCAAGGCTGAAAGGCCGAGGAGTGATATCGCAAAGGGCTTGTTATGGATGAGACGAGGCCAAGACGCGTGATAGAAAAGGCCCAGCCTGCTGGGTGAGATTCAGCTTCTCTCGGTCAACAAAAGCACTTTTCATCTACGGCGCGAGAATCCACCTGAGAGAGGACCACGGGTAGGTAGGTGTGTCCTGTCCTGTCCTGTCTCGTCTTGTTTGCTTGATTGATGGCTAAAAAGAGGCTGAAGATGCCTATCACAACTTGAGTGGTCGAATGTTGGCTTTGGCTTTCACGCAAGGAGTTCTAACCCTGGAAGTTGTTTAGGTAGTGAGTGAGCTGGACTAGATAGCTCTGCAATGATTGGCTGTATGAAATTGTTAGTGAGATCGACATGGGTAAGGTCGGGTGCCTTATGTTCTGTACTGTAGGTACCTACCGCGCTGGGGAACCTACCTTAGGTAGTACCTTAGGTACTATTTCAAGGCTGCTGCTTTGAGGCGATGCATGACCTAAGAATCAGGTAACGTCAAGATTTTAGAGATTCCTGAATATACAGTGAAGAACACAGAGTATGCCTCTGTAAGTACCAGGTAGGTATGCTGCAGGTGAAAGAAACTCAAGTCATCTACTGCATCTTAGATAAATAACTGGAGTTTGCTCAAATTTCAATGCAGGTCGTGGCTATTTGTTGAATCGAAACCACATCATTTCGTCCCGACAGGCGGGAACTCGATCGCAGGCACAAAGGGTCCCTGAGTATCACGTGCAAGAGTACTAATCGCCTCCAACCAACAAAGACTTCCTTACCAGGCTTACTTACAGCAACTAACTATACGGTTTTGGATATATCATGACCTTCCTTATAGAGAGAACGAGGCTAACTGGGTCAAGAAGTTGGTGTTGCAGGGACATGACTTGCGTTCAGTCTACTTGATGCAAGCATATCACGTACAGGCTGCAGGGGGATGATACGAGGTATCTAAGAAGTATCTCCTCTTCTATGTCCTCCCAGACTGAAAGGAAGATGACCGTCGCTAAAAAAGAACTTTGTAGTGTTCATAGGTAAGTAACTTCTTAGGTGCATGCTTCACGCATTCGGTTCAACGAACAACCAAGAATGCACAACGTATGTGATTGACAGGTCACCATTTGCTTTGGGCCGTTTGCCATTTGCCCTGGTAGTTGAATGAATACAGCATGATACTCGCACAATGTTACACATAATTGGTACGAGTTCAGCCATGCTGCAACACCAGACCAGGGGTTCTATAGTGGTTTCTCACTGCCTATAACCTGACTACAGTGCACATAAGAACCTGGACTTTGCTCAAGTTGAGCTTCTGGACGAACGGATACAGTGCTGGGACTCAACATTGTGGCATATCCCTTGATGTGGCTTTTTACCGCCTTTATTATCCCCCATACCTTACCATCCATCATGCATGGCTCAAAAGGTCAGTCGGCCCAGCCCAGCCCAGTCCAGCCCTGGCTCTGTCACTTCTTTACAACTGTCACCTCTCACAACTTACAACAGATCTGTTCGCTTTCTCCTAAGGCCTTCCGTATCTAGCTCAATATTTGCTGCAATATCTCACCGCTACCGCCAAGTTAAGCTATCGACGAATATCCATCTTTCCTGGCGTCTGCTACCACGCCGTCTCTCCGCTCGCCCCCGCCAACGAACGGCGACTTTTACTCAGTCACGGCTCATGTGCCGTGGTACGCCTGACCTTGGACTGGAAGACAACCTTGACAGCAAGAGAAAAAAACTGCTAGGCAGAGAGCATAAATACAGAAAAAAGGCGCATAACACCTGTATTGCCTACCTATGTCAAGGTTGAGCATGACTTAAGTGACAGGTAGGGCGGCTCAGCGAAAAGCAAAGGCCAATGATTGACTGACATAAAAACCCCCACGGCAGAGTCATTCGCACAGTATCCAATCCCTACCTAGCCTGTTGCTCAACTATTGATTGTCGCCATCGAGAAGACACCAAAATCAGGCTGTGATTCGGGGGTTCTTCTCACTCAACTCACGGCGAGGCCAACGAGTTTACTCCTAGCGAGTAAGGTGTACCGTGCGCCAATACTGCTTGACTGCTGTCCCTTGGACGACATCGATTAACGACCACTCTCCAAATCATCATCATTGCTATTTTGGTCACATTTCATCTGACAAAAGACGGGACCATCAGCGGCCATTCCTCTAGCCTCTTCGCTTCGCTTCAGTTCAACCCCACGTCATAACTCACATCCACATCCACAGTCAGAGTCAGAGTCAGAGCCATATCCATAGCCATAACCGCCCACCGACTAGTGAAACCCCCCATTAATTCATACATACAAATACGTATACATACAAAATGTCTGGCCGGTCGGGTTCAAACTCCCACCGTCGCCATTCACGAGAACCCCTCGACGACTTTCCACCGCTTCCCATACCGCCTCGACTGCCCTCTCTGAGAGCCCTCGCCCACGCCCAGCGGGATCGTGACCGAGACAGCCCCTCGCCGACATCCTCTAACCGCCCTCAGTCCCGGCATTGGTCAGCCGCTTCACGCCGCGCCGACCGCATCCGAAACCTGGAGAACAGAGCGCCGGGTCCCGGCTCTGGCTTTGACGACTTCGAACGGCCCATGGACGACGGCTGGCCGACTTCTCGACGTACTGACCGCATGCGGGCTGCCGCCGCCACCACCGAGAACACCAGACCCTCCAATCTCGAAGACCTCGATCGACACCTCGAGGAAGCCAACTCGCACCTGCGGGCCCTTCTCGATCTCCAGCACCACCCGAGCCTTACCCCTCCGCTCATGCCGCCCAACTTCTCTCCTTCACTCCGCCCCTCAGATCTCCCTGACTCGAATCGACGGCACAAGCGCCGGAAGCTGGATTCCGATCGTCTCGCGCCGGCCTTACGAGGCTTTCGTTATGGCAAGTATGGCCAGGTCGAGCAAGGAGACCTCAAGATGGAAATCGTCAGCTGTGACGGAGGCATGTTCTCCAATGAGTTATCATACGCCGCTGAGAATATCCTCAAAAACGACACCTCGGTGTATTGTACAAAGGGGAACAGATGCAACATAGTATTGAGACATCAGGGTGGCACCGTTTTTACTCTCCAGGAGCTGGTCATAAAGGCGCCTGCGCCGTCCAACTATTCACATCCGTATGTTGTCCCATGCACCACGGCATGATCCGGACAACATGGCTAATTCTGCAACAGCGTGAGAGAGGGAATGGTCTTTGTGGCTATGAGCCAAGACGAAGTGCTGAACCGGACGGCCCAGTACCAAATTCAATATGCACAGCCAACGAATGAACCAACTCATGACGGCGACTCGAGAGTTCTTCAGCCCATCCCAACTGAGATAATATCAGTACAGCACCATGAGAATGGCACTACGACCACGAGGTCTCGGCCAGCATACCCCTACCGCACCAACGCCGATGATCACGAAACGCGGACACCACAGATGCCTGAAGAGTTTGCGTCCAACCTACCCGACTTCCAAGTCACTACTGAGTGCAGCGACGATGAAGACGACGACTTTGACGGCCCTCGTTTCCTACGCCGTGCGCCGAACCGCATCGGCTCCCTCCCCTTTGAAACCCTCGACTCTGACTCCGATGATGGCGGTAACCCCTTTGATCCCGAATATCTCGATGACCACCATCCCTCCCACTGGCGCCTCTACAGTAGTGCTGCTAATACTAGCGGCCCAGGGTTTGATCCTCCATATTCGCGCCGCCGCGAAAGAGAGAGGGAAAGAGAAAGAGAGCGGGATCGGGATCGGGATCGCGATTACGATCGCTCCAACCGATCTTTCTCCCTGACAGAAGCTTGGGAAGCTCACGCCTCTGCTACGCAAGACGCCGTTCGAGCCGTTGGCGGTGGCCAACTGCTCTCTCCGCATGCCCGTTTCAACATAGAGAAGAAGAAGAGCAAATGCACAATTCGCTTCGACCCCCCTATATCAGGTCGATTTATACTTCTCAAGATGTGGAGCTCCCATCACGATCCCACGAGTAATATTGACATACAGTCTGTCTTGGCTCGAGGTTTTGCAGGACCTCGCTACTTTCCCTCGGTTGAGTTGCGCTGAGATGGTTTGTAAAATATGTATAGACGGAGTTGCAATGTATCCAGGTCTTTGGCTTTCAGTTTTAAGGAATTATGGCAATATACCCGTTAGAAGGTGCTGGCTGACCATTGTGTGCTGGGAGCCTTTTACTTGTTCGGCCTACCTACCTACCTAAAGTATCTCTCGCTGAGTCGCATTTACATGGTCTACATAAGACTGATGTTGAACTTTCCTACAAGTCCCCTCACACGTGATTGGAACTGCCTGCCGTAGGCATTGAGTATAGGTAGGTACGGCTGCCTTCAATGGGCGTTTGTTGCTTGCCTTAGTACCTCCAAGGTAAAATTTCTCCTCGTATAGGTACCTTCATCACGATCGCCTCCCATGTCCTGAACCTAAGTTTTGCAGAACGGTTCTCTAGTGAAATGGCCGAAGACAGCAAGATATCTCAACTCCAAAAGAACAGAAACCCCCTGCCTGGGGCGAATTCCTCGCCTCGTCGGAAGAAGTAAAGGTCACAGCCATCCAATTAGAGAAACTTCAGCACCACAAAACAGCATGCAGATAGATACCTTACGTTATTAATGCGACAACCAGAATCTTGAGGGCAACTCAGTCTTAGGTGGTGCCTCCCTTCAAAAGGTATCTCGAATACCTGAGGTATCGAGGAAGTTGCAGATAACGATCTAGGACGGGAGCCTCAGCTTTCATTCTGCCCCTCGTGAAATCATTTGTAACTGCCCCCATCAATCTCCTATTCATAGTAGGCAGGTAGGTTAGTAGGTAGGTACCAGATGAAGGAAGGTGCTCGGGCATCGAAGGATGATTATAACCAATTTTCTCGATCCCCTCTGAGCCTTTCTTCTTCTCATCATCATCTTTGCCATCCCCTTTCTTGGTTCCCAACGCATTCATCAATATCTGCCATTATCCGACATCACTACACTTTTTCTGTTCTTTATAATGATGAATCAACCCAAGGGTGCTGGCCGCGTAGGCGGCATTATCCTTCAGGCCTTCCTATTCCTCTTCGCTATCACCAATTTCCTTACACTTATCCTAACCGCGGTCACTGCTGGCAAATACGGGGGGAAACAACTGGATCTTTTCAACAAGCTGCTCGTTTACGATAATGATTCCGCTTCATTCACTTTACCAGATGATCTTCATCCTGTCGTCGTCTTTGAGCTAGGCAGATACATGAATGATTCAGAACGACCATACGTGTTCCTCGCTGTTCTCGCTGGTATCACATGGGTCATTACCTCTATCACCCTTCTTTTCCTCTTCACCAAGATTCAGTACTTCAATCACCGCGTTGCCCGCTACGTTTTCCGAGTTATAGGCGTGGCAACCTCCATATTCTTGGTCATCTTCTACCTCACCTGGGCCCACACGTACAACTTTGACCTCCCCTTCACGATTGGATGGCCTCTGGGCAAGGCATCAGTGATTGTGGCATATATCAACCTGTAAGTGTGACTACGGCATTGTGGGGGCCTGCAATTACTGACCATATCCCTAGGCTGCTCGGCATCTTCATCACTTTGCTGGCTGCGGTCCTGGACACACCAAAGGACTGGGATACACCGACTGGCCCCAACAGTCGCCTAACTAGCCAGGTATAGTGGCCAGCCATTGAACAACGGAGAAGAAAACCCGGTGATGGTTGTGTGGATGTCGTGAGGTCAGGAGTTTGGTTTGCTGTTATCATTATTACAGTTCATTCGGTTGGGCGTATGGTCGATGCATGCTAAAAGTATCTTTATACCAGTAGATGGTAGAGAGTCTATTTGAGTACACTGTCCTTGTTCTCTCAATATGATAGTTCTTGTGACCATGGAACCGTGAAGTCTTTGAAGTCAGTAGACGGGCCTCAGGGAGCAGGAAAACTTCAGATGTATCAAGAAATGCATATAGTTTAGAGGCTAGTAAAGCCTCACCTAAATTCACCCAAGTCTTTTTGCCATTAGGACCGAGGTCTGATATTTTAAAGGGTATCCTAAACTTATACTAAGTTACTTGAGTCTTTTTGTTGTCTAGGATCACGGCCCCAATTTTCTTCCACCCCTAGGCAATGAAAGTTTCAAGTGAGTAAGTCCCTTGTTGCATTGAAGGCTGAGACTTTATAGGCACAAGTCCAAAGAACCAACTCTAGGTCGTTGCGTTAGTAGTTTGGGTCGGCTACTAGGCAAGTTTCTACAGAACATTCGCCAGCCTACTAACCTAACAAAAGCAAATGAAGTAAGAAGATTGGTGTTTCCATAAACGAGCGTAATGGCTCAGATGGTGGAACCGCTCTACTAATAAGAGTAGGTAGACTGATTGAAGCTGTTCAAGTAAGGTCCGTAGGTAGGATTGTGACGATAGTCTGTATAAACGGCACGCGGGGCTCTCATTTGTCAAAATGATCCAGCTGGAAGAGCTGGAATTTGTGTGATGGATAGTCGCCAATACCGCTCATCCTAAAGCGGCCGAAATACCAGGTAGATAGATTCTGGAGACTTTACTCCAGCGCCCTAGGCCTAGACTGTGCCTTCAAACTCCACAACTTTGAGATGGAGGCAACTTGACGCCACAGGTAGTTTTACCGTCCATGTCGCCCTGCCTAGGCACCGTACCTACGGCCAGGGAGGAGCAACAAACAAGTCTAGAATTGCTATAGTACCACAGTCTAAGGAAGCAAACATGGCATCTTTCGAATAAAGATATAAAAAAAGAATGTCCAGTACAACAATCAGAGAGCATGACCATGCTGAAAGTGACACACGGCAGTCGTTGCCATGAAAGCCATCAATGGCCTTGCAAAATCGAAGGGAGATCTCTTCCGGGGTTTCTTGGATCTTGTGCAGCCACAGGACGCTATAGATCGTGGCAATCGAGTTCATCAACGTGCCGGCGCGAAAGTGTGTTCCTGTTCTAGGATGAATTTAAGGAACCAGACGGAGAAGGGAACGGCCTGGACTCGCCAAGAAGTGGTCTAAGTTTGACCGGGCTTGTGGGCTTGTGGGCGAAAATGCGTCCAAAAGCTTGAGATGCCCTACGAACCTAGATTAAGGTAGAAACTTTGCTTTTGCATTTCTGCAGGTTCCCGTGTAGGACAGCCTAGAACGACAGGTCCAGACAGGGCAGGGCAAGACAAAGACGTGCGGGGACGTTGGAGCCGCTCGGGAAGGGCTCCTTTATGCAGTAGTGCTATGCAGGTGATAGTGATACTGCATGATTTATATGGGCAAGGTTGGCTGCACTGATCCTTCAGTGCCTTATCTTGTGACTGTGACTGATTATAATGGACTCAGTTCCAGGGACTCGATTCGATAACGAGGGCTTTTCACCAAAGGCCGATATCGAGTCAAGGTCCCTTGACCAACCATTGTCATGAATATGTCATTCATGACTCTACTAACAATGGAACGTACTATCTCCAACCTCCAGCTACGTCAAGCCCACAATGATAAAGTGCCTCTGGAGACAGTGGCGTGTCTCTGCATTCCACAGCATTCAGGGATCAACGCTAGGGCGTTACCAAGCTCGGCTGGCTTGCTCGTCAATTGTTGGTAGTGAGACACTACGAGGCGGCATTTTGCAGTGTTTATTCCGGAAAGGGTTTCCAAGGACAATTGGAACGTCTTTCTCAGAAATGCAAATACGGTCATATTTTATAGATGGACCTGATAGTCTTTCGGAGCTGTGTCAACCTGGGGCTGCAGGATTACCCCATTGGTACAAGTTTGTTGGCCACTAGGTAGAGGACCCCTCAGATACCTCAACCACTCAATTCTATCCAAACAAATCCACCATCAAAGCATATCCCAAGTTGCCCAACCATAGTTACCCGTCTAACTATCCGCAGAGTGGAGGAAGTACTGGTACCTGTAGGGTCTGGTCTGGTTTCTGAGGTGTCGCTACATTGTCGGCTTCTCCTCAGCCGAAACCGGCCACGCGCAACAAACTGTGGTGTTAAGGTTAATATCTATGGCCTCCTCGCCCACCAAAAACCACCGTTCACCCATCGCCAACTCTCTTCTTACCACCACAAACTGACCATTCCACCGCCCTCTCTCGACACAATCAATTTGAAGCACATCAGCTATCCACCTAATATCTATCAATACGATCGCCGCTACTAGCGTTCTAGTGCTTGTCAAACTAGGTTCCTTTCTCTGGACCCCTGTTCCATCAAATCTCCCAAACCCCTTGGAACCGAAACATTAGGCGATTATGCAGCCTCTGGATCTCCAGGGGCTCGTTGAGGATCGAGCTGCCGAGGAGGAGCATGGACAGTTTCCCATCGAGTATCATTCGCGTCTAACGGGGCCGAGCTCCCAAGCGTCGTATGGCTCCAGTGTTCGCGCCTCGACCGCCCGGAGGCGAGCTGCTGTGACAAACAAACCCAGAAACCACAATCTATCAGAAACCACCTCCCTCCGCCTGTCCCCCGCTGCTCTCAAGACACCCAGCGCTGCTCAGTCGACTCCCCGTTCAACTCCTCCTCTGGCTCCTCTCTCAGTGACACCTCCTACGACAGCTCATCATCCTCCCAGCTCCTCTGTTCGAACCCGAGATCCCGGTCTTCATGTAGAGCCTACTTCTCCTAAACTTCAGTCACCTCTGCGTCACTCCATCAACTTGGCCGACAACCACAACTTGGACGTTGAATCGCAGCTCTATAGGCTCTCCAGCGGTCAGCCCAGACCGCTTTCTGTCGACATGTCGTTCACTGGCGATAAAAGGCCTGCTGCCTCCAAACCTCAGCCAAGTTTGCCTGCTGTTGTAGAGGAAGCTCCCCGAAACGGCTTTTCAACTTGGTTCTCTCGATCTAATGCACCCTCACCTTTATCCACAACTGCCCCAGAACCTCGACGACGCAGTACATCATCGGCCAAGCCATCCACACCAACTTCTTCTCGATTCAACTTCTTCGGCTCCCTCACTGCTTCGCCTACTGCTTGTCCCTCGGAGGAACAAAATGAGGCCCTCATGAACCTCGACATTGAAAAGGGCCTTTTCCCGAACGGCCT